TTCTCCCTCGCTTCCCCTTTTATTCCTCTTTTGCTTCCCCTTGCCTCCTGTTTTGCTTCCTCCCTCGCTTCCCCTTTGGTTCCTCCTTTGCTTCCCCCATTGCTTTCCCCTTGCTTCCCCGTTTGCTTCCCCGTTTGCTTCCCTTTGGTTTCTCTTTTGCTTCCGCCCTTGCTTCCCCCTTGCTTCCCCTTTGTTTCCCTTTGTTTCCCCTTGCTTCCCCTTGCTTCCTCCTTATTTTCTCCTTGTGTTGCTTCACCCCTTGATTCCACCCCCCACTTGATTCCCCCGTTGTTCCCCCATTGCTCCCCACTTCCTCAACCATTGCTCCCCCCTTCCTCCTTCTTCCCCCTTGCTTCCCCCTTGCTACCCCCCTTGCTCCCCTGTTGCTTCCCCTTTGCTCCCTCGTTGCTTCCCCTTTGCTTCCCCTTTGCTTCCCCCTTGCTTCCCCCTTGCTTCCCCCTTGCAGATGACTGAGTACAAGGGCACGTTTTGGAAATCGAACACCTACTTCAGACCTTTAAGGCCATATCTGTACGGACTACGAAATTAAATCGCTATTATTGATTTAAAAAAAAACACTTCTTTATTTGCGAAGAGGTAGATGATTTCATTCAGTATATAATTCCCCTTGCTTCCCGCTTGCCGCCCCTTTGCCTCCCCCTTGCCTCCTCCTTTTTTTGGCACGACGTACTACAGTCTTCCCCCGAATACAACGCACGGTCATTATAGCTGAATTTGGTCTATCTTTCAGTCTAAATTCAGCTATAATGACCGTGCGTTGTATTCGGGGGAAGGCTGTAGTACAGACAAGTTACGGTGTTGATCAGAAAAGATCATCAGAAAAGATGATACACTTGATCTTAAGCCATAAGGCTGAGAAAGGCATTGGAATCCCACATTGCTGGGGAGAGGGAGCAGAGGAAAGCGAAAACAATAAGGAATGGAATTGATTGGGTGATTGAATGATGGGACAAACCCAGTACATGAGAACCAATATGCACTTCTTGGGTGTGTCGATAAGGAAACTATTTGTGAATAATTTTTCTCTTCCTAGAGAAAAGACAAAAGTAGAGGCCCGAAAACAAAATGGGATGAAGGGTCGGAGGAAGAGGATAGCACTCAAAAGGAAAGTGAATTTTGAATCTTGTCGATGCCAATTTTTGTTGTAATTAGCAAATAATAAGACCATTTACCTTGTAATGTATTTACTATTACTTTTTAGTGCTGAACTCCTCGTGTGTACATGACAAGGCGGAGAGAGAGAGAGAGAGAGAGAGAGAGAGAGAGAGAGAGAGAGAGAGAGAGAGAGAGAGAGAGAGAGAGAGAGAGAGAGAGAATGATCTTGATTTGCAATCCATCACTAAAAATCTTCTGTGAAGGATTTGCCCGTGTCTTCACAGCAGGCGAATCAGGTTTTTTTACTGCGCTGTTACCCGAATGGAATTTGAGGGGCAACACGTCAAAAAGCTGGTTCTTTTTATTTTTATTTTTTATGCGTCATGCTCATCGTTGTTTAAGTCGTCTGGTTCACATATCTCCTCCTCTCCTCCTCTCCTCTTCTTTTCAAGTCCACCTGCATCATGGAGTGACATCCCATGCTCTGTGCCTCACGTAGGTTTCACGGCCATCGCCACCCTCATCATCGTAGACAGGTAATCATCATCTTGATGATCATCACAATCATCATCAGTAATGCCACGTCGATGACCATCTTCTTCTTCCTTTTCTGTTTCTTGTCGATATAAGGGTACATCTTCTTCGTCCTTACTCAGTAGGCGGGAGGGCAGTCGGTGGGCCGCGAGGCATGGCTGTGCGGGAGGCGCGCTGAGGATGATCAGAGCGCAGCCGATCGAAACCCGCGTCGGGGAACGTGCGCGTAAGCGGAGACGAGTATGCGCGGCTATGTATTGAAGAGCTCTTGAGGCGTGTACGAAAGGCAGTTGCCCCCCCCCCTCCCCTGTTTTCACAATTCTTCCTCTTCCTCCTCCTCCTCCTCCTCCTCCTCCTCCTCCTCCTCCTCTTCTTCTTCGTCTTCTCCTTCTTCGTTTTCCTCTATTGCTTCTGCTTCTGCTATTGCATGACTCGCACTGCTCCTCCCCGAATATATAACCATCGTCAAAATCGTCATCATCAGCGTGATCATGATTCTGATCCTCATCATCTTCATGGTCATGCTATCATCATCATCATCATCATCATCGTCATCGTTATGATGACCATCATCACGATCACGATGACGATGACGACTATCAATATCATTTTCATCAGTACCGTTGCGATAACCATCGTGATCATCGTCTGCTGCTGCTGCCAGCTGATTCTGGTTCTGCTGTTCGCTGCTATTGCCTTACCTGCGCTGCTGGGGCAGCGAGCTGCTCTCCGGACTCGACAAAAGCTCTCTGGACCGACATGGGGCACGCACGGCACGTCCGGAGAGCAGCTCGCTGCCCCATGTGGGCCATGGCACGTGCCATGCGTGCCCCGTGTGGCCCATGGCACGTGCCGACAAAAGCTCTCTGGACCCGTCAAAAGCTCTCTGGACTCTTTACCGCACACCTGCGTGCGCTGGGCGCTCTGCAGTGCTGGAGGTCTATTTGGCAAACTGATACCGTAATTTGAAAAATAGTAATTTGAATGCGTCACGAAATGGTAACGTTGCTTGTTGCAACGTTGTTAAAAAAAAAACAAAAAAAAACAAAACAAAACGAAATGGTAACGTTGCTTGTTTATGGTCATTAAATACCCGAAAGAAGCGAATTCAGAGACTCAGAGAAAAAATCAATTCGCCTGCTGAGTGTCCATTCCGACCTTTTTTTTTTGTTTTTGGTAATTTATTTGAAGAGACCATCATACTAGGGAGTTTGGGCCCACCACATTACCCACCATCAGTGTGATACATGATCTATACGAAGATGGTACCGCATGTGGTCCAGATGTCGTCCATATGTGTTCCAATGGGGGGCGTGTTGGAACTGTTCAGAACTTCTCCGAGTTGTGTTTGTAATTCGCCCTGTGTAATATACTAGTGTCTCTTGTTCACTGCCTGTGTGCGAGAGAGAGAGAGAGAGAGAGAGAGAGAGAGA